GGGTAGGGTTAGGGTTAGGTTACAAGTAAGGTTAGGGTACCTCAACCCCTAACCTAACTCTAATCCTACTCCTAACCCAAACCTTAACCCTACTCCTAACCCAACCCTACTCCTAACCCAAACCTAACCCTACTCCTAACCCTAACCCAACCCCTACTCCTAACCCAACCCTAACTCTAACTCTATTCCTAACCATGGTCCTATGCTCAAAACAGTTCCAGGGAATTAGGGCCAACAGTTGTTCTCTCTTTCTGGAGTACAAAAGTACATAAATCATATAAGTTTTTAAAGGCACTGTAGTCTTTTGGCAGGAGGCTGGCAAGCAGGCCCCTCCAAGAACATGTGGCATAGGCATTTCTGCCACAGAGGGCCCTGCTCAAACGAGCTTACAGTCTAGAGGAGGTGGGGTACAAATACACAACAGGGCAGCAAGGGTGACAGCCATCAAAAAAGGTGGAAAAGTACCAGAGCTGGAGGTGAGAGTGGAGTATGGGTCTTTTAGGAGAGAGAGAGACAGATTTGGATAAGTATTGGTAAGTTACTCTGGGAGTCCATAAGCATTTCTGAACAGATGTGTTTTGAGGGACTTCTTAAACAATTGAAGACTAGGGGAGAGTCTGATGGGGGTAGGCAGGCTGTTTCAAAAGAAGGGAGTCGCCCACAAGAAGTCCTGCAAGAGCGAGTTAGCAGTAAGGGTGTGAGCAGCGGACAGGTGAAGGTCACTGGAAGAGCGAAGAAGCCAAGAATGGGCATATCTATGAATAAGGGAAGAAATGTAAAAGGGGCTAGAGTTGGTTAGAGCTTTATAGGTAAGGGTTATTATTTTGAATTGACACCTATAGGATACAGGAAGCCAGTTCAAGAATCGACAGAAGGGCGAGGTATGGGAGGAGTGACGGGTGAGAAAGATCAGCCTGACGGCAGCATTCATTACCAATTGTAGCGGGGAAGTTTGGCTTTTGGAGAGACCAACTAGTAGAGAATCACAGTAGTCCATGCAAGAGATTACTGGAGCATAAACAAACTCCTTGGCAGCATCTTGCATGAGAAAGGGGCGGATGCAGGCGATATTCTTAAGGTGGAATTGACAGGTTAAACATGACAATACCTTACCGAACTTAGCAACTGCTAATTGATATTCCACATTGTTGCCTAGTTTGTTGTCTATAACAATTACCAAGTCCTTTCCATGAGTACTTTTGCCTAATTCACTACCGTTGAGGGTGTAAGCTGATGCATGTGCATTCTTTACCTCGAAGTCCATAACTTTGCATTTATCTACATTAAATGTGATCTGCTATTTAAGTGCTCAGTCCCCCAGTCTATATAAATCCATCAACAGCAAAGTAATACCCTGCTCACATTGTATTACTTTCCAGAGCTTTGTGTCATCTGCAAACACTGACACATGACTTTCAATACCTATTTTAAGATCATTTATAAATGTGTTAAACTGAAGCGGTCCTGGAACAGAATCCCAAGGGACACCACTTGCCACTTTTGTCCAGCTTGAAAATGTACCATTATTAACAACTCTCTGTACTCTATATTTAAGCCATCGTTTTACCCAAGAACAAGAATGTTCATGAAGATCAGGGGTTCACAACCCATGGTACGCGTGTGTCCGGGGGGAACGCAAACAAACAAAAATAATGGGGGTGGTGCAGCCACACCACACATTTGCTAGAAACTGCTGGCTGAGGGTCCTTTGGATAGCCCATGCACCTAGGGCCACCCAATGGTTATGTGTCATGAGGTGCCCAGTCGTGCACTCTGAAGTTTTGACAACGCGACCGCACCATTTTTATCTTCAGAGAGACCTGGGTGGAAGTGTGAGAGAGACGGTCACTTCCTCCCAGCTAGCACAGATACAGTTGCATGGGAGGGGGGAGCCATAAACCATGGCAGGGGGCCAGACCCAGAGAAGAGCAAGTCCCAAACTCCTAAAATCCACAGCCAGCAGAAGCCACCCTCTTGCACCAAAATGTAAGAAACTGGAGGGTGGCTAATATTTTTGCCCGTATGTTTGTCTGTATATGTGTATATATAGTGTTTGTATCTCTGTGTGTAAATGTTTATGTCAGTGTGTGTATCTGTGTGTCTCTATTTGTATGTGTATCTGTGAGTGTCATTTTTTGTATCAGTGTGTATCTGTGTTCCTGTGTATCTGCATGTGTGGCAGTGTTTGTATCTGTGTGTATCAGTATAGGTCAGTGTTTGTATGTGTGTCAGTGTGTGTATCTATGTGTGCCTGTGTGTATCAGTATGGGTCAGTGTTTGTATGTGTGTCAGTGTGTATATCTATGTGTGCCAGTGTGTTTATCTATGTGTGCCAGTGTGTATCTATGTGTGTCAGTATTTGTATCTGTGTGTCTATGTATCTGCTTGTGTGCATCTTTTTCTCTGTATCTGTGTGGGTGTTCCATTGTTTGGATCTGTGTGTCTGTACATCTGCATATGTGTCAGTGTCTGTATCTGTATGTGTGTCAATGTTTGTATCTGTGTATCTGCACATGTGTCAGTGTATGTGTATCTCTGTGTCTGTGTATCTGCATGTGTGTCAGTGAGATGTGGATAATAGACAACTGATATGCAAATTCCGAGATTAAATAGCCAAATCGAAAAAAAATTTCCCCTTCTTTCTTACTTAGCTTAAAGTAGTTTTTGCAATTCCATTGACTGTTCACTGCAGCAACTGTTTAGTGAATAAACCCATCCCGAATAGTGTCTATGCAGTTATTTTAAGAAAATGCATTTTATTGCACATCAACAGCAAAGCAAAATTAATCAAAGCACTTCTTGGAACAGCAGTCTAGTTGCCAGAGGCATTACATAATACTTAGAAAGATAAATTAGAAAGAGCAAGTTACTTCCACACATCAAAATGAGAAAACTCATGAGTATATTGACCTACAGGTTAGATAAACAATTGAACACATAACCACAAATAATTGGTCTTTATGATGTCATTTGGTTTACTGTTTTGGTCTCTAGAATTGATAAAGGCATACATTAGATAAATGATTTAGGTAGTGATAGCAATTAAGCTATAATGATAAAAATAATTGGTAACATGCATACATTTGTTTTAAAAATGGAACTAGATTTAGGATGCTACAGAGAAACAGGCATTTAAAGGTTAACAGATATATTTACATGCAGATAAAAGTACCATTTACAGTATTAAGGTTCTTATTTTAATGAGGTTACCCTCAGTAAGCTATGGAGTTAGATTTACTAGATACATTTTTTTTAACTAAAATTTCGGCAAAGTTACAGAAATAAGCTCAAGTCAGATGAAGAAAAAAAGCCTTCCTATGAGGACTAAACCACTCACAAGAAACTGTTGAAACTGCAATTCTGTTTGTTAGTTACTTTATGACACAGTGTTTCACATAGAAAAAAAAATGTTTTTGTTATAAAATCCCCCTGGCTACACTATGCAATATAATTAACATTTTGCAGTACAACAAGAGAAGGTGGAGAGAAGGTAATAAAATAATAAAAGTTGGAAAAACACTTGTTTTTTTATATATTATATTATAGGGATAATTATTTGATAAGTCACATATGATACATAGATATAAGAAAATGTAATAAGACAAAATCTAAGGCTGATGGATATAATTAATGAAAAACAGAATGTATCTAACACAAAAAAATATTAAATACACAGAAAAGGGATAATTAAAGGACCACTATAGGCACCCAGACCACTTCAGCTTAATGAAGTTGTAACAAAGAGGACAGTTTCACTAACATATGAAGACTGTGGATTAATATTCAGTTCGGGACATTACAAGCATTCCCCATACGAATGCTTGATACTAACTAACAGGCCACCCTGACTCTAAATTGAGACTCATTTACCTCCCTGCTTTATGGGGATTTTCGTGCAAATAAATGCACAAACGCTATATGAATCGTATGCATGGCCGCCATTTCGGGACTTCCACGTGTTTGCAGCCATTTTAACTCCCGAACAGCTGTGTTTTGCCGTCGAGTGTCTGGAACTAAAATCGGACACTCGGATAGGCGAACACCGCTGAGACCTCCATACCTCCGGGAAATCGCGCTACAGAAAGACTTAACAACTTATGGGGATTGCAGCGAACACAAGATTACGTACGGATGGCCAGCCATTCGGGGCTTTTTGTGCACGAACTAAGACCGACTGCAGGGCCAGGATTCATGTTTTCGACTACTTTGCCCGTGCGGTAGGTCAAAACTTTCAAGTCCCATATCTCCCGAACGGCTGAACCGAATCAGCTGATTTTTGGATATATTAGTCCCCCAGAAATAAGCTATCTGGGGACACCGAATTTATGCCTGTACCCCAAGGATTTGGGGTACATCCAAACTTTGGGGAAAAACATGTTCATTTTTAATTATGTTATGAGGTTATCTAAGGGCAGGAGATGTACAGGATGTATATTGTGTTTATTGGCTGTACTGTTAATTATGTGGGTGTCTCCCTTGCATGGGCAGAATCACATAAAAGAGAGTGTCTGTCATTAAAGCTTTAGTTCTTCTTGACCCTTCAAAACGTAGCCTTGTCTCGTTCTTGAAAGGGGAATTTTGTTTTGACCCTCAAATCGCAGCCTCGACTCGTTATGTGGGAACAAGGGTATCATAGCTGTACCATAGCTAGTCGGATTGCTTTATATTCACAAATTCTTATGTTATGCTGAACGGAACGGCTCTTCCCTCTCTCCTCCAAAGTATGTGAAACCTTTGGAATGTTATGGATTTCTGCACAAATTGGTCATAAAATGTGATCTGATCATCATCTAAGTCGATTGAGATGCTGTGGCATGACCTCAAGAAAGTGATTCACACCAGACATCCCAAGAATATTGCTGAACTGAAACAGTTCTGTAAAGAGGAATGGTCAAGAATTACTCCTGACCGTTGTGCACGTCTGATCTGCAACTACAGGAAACGTTTGGTTGAAGTTATTGCTGCCAAATGAGGTTCAACCAGTTATTAAATCCAAGGGTTCACATACTTTTCCACCTGCACTGTGAATGTTTACATGGTGTGTTCAATAAAAACATGGCAACATTTCATTCTTTGTGTGTTATTAGTTTAAGCAGACTGTGATTGTCTATTGTTGTGACTTAGATGATGATCAGATCACATTTTATGACCAATTTGTGCAGAAATCCATATCATTCCAAAGGGTTCACATACTTTTCCGTAGAGGGAGCCTGAGAAACGGCTACCACATCCAAGGAAGGCAGCAGGCAAGCAAATTACCCACTCCCGACGCGGGGAGGTAGTGACGACAAATAACACAGGACTCTTTAGAGGCCCTGTAATTGTAATGAGTCCACTTGAAATCCTTTAACTATGATCAATTGGAGGGCAAGTCTGGTGCAGAGCGACTGACCCGTGCATGCTGCTGCTGAAACTCCACTATCGCCTGCTGCTGCTCGCACAGTCTTTCCAGCTTGTGCAAGGTGGAGTTACACCTTGTGGGCATGTCACATATGAGGCAGTGAGCGGAAAGGCCAAAGTTACGCTGCAGCACAGACAGGCGAGCAGCAGCAGGGTGAGAACGTCAAAGCATGCACAGCCGCTACAGTGAATGTCACATCCTGTTCCAAGTTGCGGATCAGTCTGGTAATTGCTTCTGGTATCCAGTACTCTTTTTACTGAAGCTGCATCAGGGTCCTGGTATGTGGTCACACAAATGCTGGTGCTCAACACCTGGGGGTGTGTGGTTACCCTGCACCAGACCCTGCTAATCCATTCCACACTCTGAATCCTAACTACAACATCAGGCATACTGGGTCCGAGTCGTCCTACTGCCGCCCAGACAGTGTCTGGGTCTCAGTCACCGGACTGCTGCCCTCAATGTGAAACTTCGAATGGCTCGTTAAATCTGGTTCGCTCAACTCTATTATGGATCCTTTGATCGCTCCATCTGTTACTTGGATAACTGTGGTAATTCTCGAGCTAATACATGCAGACGAGCGCTAGGGGACGGCCGCTCCGCTTTTGCACCTTGCTCCCTCTTATGCTGTGCTGGTGCCTCTGTGTGACCAGCGCCTCTTCCTCCAAACTGCACACGTCACTCGCATGACCTTGATTCCATGTGGGGTCTAGGACCTCATCATCCTCCACATCATTTTCCACCCACTCCTTAACCCTTCCCTCCTTGCCAGTCTGCCCACTGCAGAAATCTACAGCAGTTGGCACCTGTGTTTTTCCAGCATGTAAACTCTGCAAAGGACATATGGGAATTGTTTTAGAGTTGTATCCACGCAACAGTTTTCCCTATAAACTGACCTCTCAGTTTGACTTGTGAGGGTATTGCCCCTGAATTACAATATTGTTATATTGGTATTTGACGGTTCTATTTGACTGTCAGATATGAAGTGCAGGCTGCAAATGTACTATTTAGCACCCCAAAAAATTTGAATTGGTCAAACTGCGCTGTAACCACAGTATTTGACAGTTCTATTTGACTGTCAGATATGAAGTGCACACCCCAAATTTACTTTTTATCACCCAAAACAACTAGAATTTTTCAAAGTGCGCTGAAAGAACAGTGTTTGGCGGTTCTATTTCACTCTCAGATATGAAGTGCACCGCAGGACACAAATGTACTATTTAGCAATAGCACCCAAAACTATTAGAATTTTTCAAAGTGCGCTGTAAGCACAGTGTTTGACGGTTCTATTTGACTCTCAGATATGAAGTGCACACCCCAAATTTACTTTTTATCACCCAAAACAATTAGAATTTTTCAAAGTGAGCTGAAAGCACAGTATTTGACTCTCAGATATGAAGTGCACCGCGGGCCGCAAATGTACTATTTAGCAGCCAAAAAATTTGAATGTTTAAAACTGCTATGTCACAGCAGTATTTGACGGTTCTATTTGACTCTCCGATATGAAGAGCACACCCCAAATTTACTATTTAGCAGTTTAGCACCAAAACAATTATAATTTTTATAACTGCTCTGTAACCACAGTATTTGACGCTTCTATTTGACTCTCATATGAAGTGCAGGGCCCAAATTTACTATTTAGCAGATTAGCACCAAAACAATTAGAATGTTTACAACTGCGTTGTAACCACAGTATTTGACACTTCTATTTGACTCTCAGATATGAAGTGCAGAGCCCAAATTTACTTTTTAGCAGATTAGCACCCAGAAAATAAGAATGTTTACAATTGCGCTGTAACCGCAGTATTTGACGCTTCTATTTGACTCTGAGATATGAAGAGCACGCCCCAAATGTACTTCTTAGGAGCAAAAAAATGGGAATTTGTCAAAGTGCGCTGTAAACACAGTATTTGACACTTCTATTTGACTCTCAGATATTAAGTGCGGGGCCCAAATTTACTATTTAGCAGATTAGCACCCAGAAAATAAGAATGTTTACAATTGCGCTGTAACCGCAGTATCTGACGCTTCTATTTGACTCTCAGATATGAAGTGAAGCCCACTAATGTACTTTTTAGCACCCAAATAATTTTAAGTTTTAAAACTGCAATGTGACAGCAGTATTTGACGGTTCTATTTGACTCTCAGATATGAAGTGCACACCCCAAATGTACTATTTAGCACCCAAAAAAAATTTGACTTTTTAAAACTCCGATGTAAGCACAGTATTTGACGCTTCTATTTGACTCTCAGATATGAAGTGCACCCCACTAATGTACTAGTTTGCAGAATTCTTTCCTAATCTGTCCCTGAAAGCGGCAGTATCCTCTCCCTACACTAATAAGAGCTCATGTGACGTTAGGCGCTTCGTGACTCCAGATTATATATAGAGGCTGGGTCACATGCTGCACTGGCCAATCACAGCCATGCCATTAATAGGCATGGCTGTGATGGCTTCTAAGGGCACACAAGTCAAATGCTTGTTGATTGGCTGCCCTGAAGCCTTTCAAAACGCGCCATTAAATCGCCGAACACCAAACTCCAACACGAACATACACTGATATGTTCGTGTTCGGGTCCAAAAAACTTAATGTTCGGTACGAACCCCCAAACTTTACAGTCCAGGTTCGCTCAACTCTATCTATAACCAATAAAATATATATGAATGAATACTTCAAAGATATAGATTTACATCAGTTAACAACCGATCAAACAGAAATGTTAAATACTCAGATTGAAGAGGAAGAAGTTAATCAATGCATAAATAAACTGAAAACTAATAAAGCACCGGGTCCAGATGGCTCTGGAAATGTGTTTTATAAAATATTAAAGACAAATTTTGTTCCGGGGTTAACTAAAACTTTTAATGAAATAATGCAAAAGGGTAGAGCTCCAGAAGAACTCTTGATGGCTGATATTGTTCCCATACATAAGCCAGATAAGGCTGAACAACTAGTTAATAACTACAAACCTATCTCATTACTAAATATAGATATTAAAATATGCTCATCAATACTAGCAGAAAGAATAAAATCAGTATTAAAATCATTGATAGAAAAAAATCAAGTAGGCTTTGTTCCTGTAACAGTCACCTGGGGACTTATGTAACAGTTTACCAGGAGTAGGAGCCCAGTTGCAGGAGATGGCACAGGAAGGAGGCAAAACCAGAAGCGCAGTACAGATTAAGCGGAAATCCAAAGGCAGGGTCAGACGAGAAGCAGAAGTCAGGGCTGGCAGCGGAGTAACGAAGTTGGTAAAGCAGGCAGAGGTCAGAGTCCAGGAAATCAGTCAGTAACGTAGCAAAGATCCGGCAGGAAACACCAAAAAGGCCAGATCATAGGTTTCAGGCAGGGCTGGCTTTTACAGCCTGCTAATTAGGTGCAGCTGACCTAAATTGGAAAAGGGCTGCAGGTGGATCAGTGCTACTTAATCCAGGCAAGGGGTCAGGAAGCAGAAAAATGCAAACAGAAACTGAAGCCCCCTGGTGGATATCATGGCAGCCAGGTCTCTTAAAGGGGCAGTTACACCTCCAATGAATCATCTTAGGAGAATTATAGATATCTTAGATGGGTCTGATAAGTTGAAAGTCCATTTAATCATCCTGTCAATTGATGCTGAAAAGTCAGGATGAACTTGGAATTTATGTTCAAATCCTTGGAAAAAAATTGCATTCGGGATGGGAATGATAGATGCGATTAAAGCCTTATATACATGACCAAAAGCAAAAATGAGGGCTCAAAATTTTATTTCACAGAGTTTCATGATAAATAATGGTACAAGACAGGGTTGTCCCCTCTCACCCCTCCTGTACATGCTAGCACTAGAACCCTTGGCAATTAAGATAAGGAAAAATAAAACAATAATATGTTTAACAGTACTAGTAAGATAAACCTTTATGCAGACAATATCCTGTTGACACTGGAAGACCCAATAAGATGATTAGATGCCTTAATTGAATAACTAGGAAAATACTCTATGTTCTCGGGCTATAAAATTAATTTGGAAAAATCTACTTTCTTTTTAAAAAATTGCAAAAGTAATATAATAGAAATCTGTAAAAATTAAATATGGATTAATATGGGCTCAATATTATATTAAATACCTTGGCATTAACATAACTCAATTTACAAGTAATCTTATAGAAAGCAATTTTCTTCCTTTGCTAAACAAACAAATTTAAATTTGATTAAGTGAATAATTTTTTTATTTTGGTTTTGGTGGGGAAGGATAAATATCCTCAGGGTTTATGTTTTGCCTAAGTGGACATACATCTTTTAGTATGATCCCAAGTAGATGACCTGACATCTGGAAAGAGAAAAAAACTTGTAAATTGAAGAACGTTGGCTCGTAATATAAAACAGGGAGGTTTGGGAATGCCTGATTTCTTTAACTATTTTTAGCAAGTAGACTAAAACATGCTTTAATATCACAGAAAGATTTATCAAAAAATGAAAAATGGTATATTGAACAAGACCTCTCCAATTCTACAGATATATCCTTATTGCTTTAGAAACATAAGAACCCTGGGGATAAAAGTAATTAGATAGAAATAAAAAGTCTAAACAACACAATAGAGGATTGGAATTTAAGAAGAAAGAAGCTGCATATAGAAAATAAAATCCTGGGCTCACTCCTGTTGAATATTTTAGAACCATCTATAGAAAATATTAATTTGGAAAACTGGAGAAATAAAGGTATTAAAAAAATAAAATAAATAGTAGACCAAAACAAAATAAAACCTTTTCCTAGACTTGTCTCAGAGTATAACATCCCGAATAAAGACATTTTTAATTACTTGAGATTGGGAGGTTTTCTCTCAAAACTTCTGTATAAAAGAAATTCAGAAATAATTAAAGATTTAAAAATGTTTACTGGAACAAGATAACTATA